ACCCTGAGATGCCAGTTTGTAGACACTGTTCTCCATTTTCCCTGTGGGACTACCCACAGGTTTTCACCACACTCCTACTGTGGATTTTTAATGACTCATCTTGCAGTTGGCCACTGCTCTTTGTTTTAAAGATGACCTGAAATATTCTTAAATAAGGTGGTGCTGGCAACTTTGTTAGTTTAATGATCAGTTCCTTGTGATCTGGACCCAACTGTTGCCACCTTCAAGCTCTCTACTTGATCAACTTGCCCATTCTTCTCTAAGCATCCTCAAACTTTGTTCATGGGACTCAGGTGGCCGCTAGTTGAACAGGAGGGACTTCTAACTTTTTAAAACCATTATTATCTTGCAGTAGCAAAGCATTTCTCAACCTGTCAAACAACCAGCTTGGTTACATCCATGTCCATATTACATCTCCACTGCACCTGCTCCACATCTGCCACCCCTGCTGTGCCCCCGTGATGTGGAGATGTGGAGATGTAGAAGCAATCTGCAAGAATGATAAAGATTCTGTGTCAAAGAGCCTGGGATGTTACTGGGTTTATAATCCTTCTGAGCATATCATCAGTGAAACTTCAAGTTATATATTTTATAGTCTATCTTAATTATCAAGCTGTTACAGAACATGCACTGTTTCCCCAGTGCTATTTTAAATTCCCAACTGTGGATTTCTTTTTTTTATTTTTATTTCTAGAAATCCACCACACAAATGCTGCTGAGAAAACAACACGCAGGGGTTAAGTTGTCTTACGTCCCCTTCTCCTTGCCAGCTTCCTACTAACGGAGACATTTACGCCAGGAAAAAGGCAAAGCTCTCTAGTTTCAGCAGTGCCATGTGGTCTGTCTGGGCCCCATCGTCAGAGCCATGTGCAGAGCCCGGCTGAGCTCAAGTGACTCCTGCAGGTCAAAGCTCTGGCCAGAGGAGGCTGAGGCAATGCTGTCCTGGTGGGTGATGCAAGCAGAGGCTCTGAGAGGGCTGTATTTCTTACTGCAAACATCTGCCTGTCACTTGGCACTTGAACGTGCAGTTGGAGGCTGCTGGTAGGTGCCTGTGTCACGGTAATGACTGTGACGGGCTTTTTCCATCCCTGAGCAGGAGATGGTTCTGACATTTGGTTTGAGAGCAGCTTTGAAGCCATCGAGTTCCTCTGCTTGAGAGCAGGCAGTGAGGATGAATGCTGCATAGGGCTGTGTTTCAGAGCAGCCCAGCAATTAACCAGGCAGTGTTGTGCAGCTCTGCTGACTGGTGCTGCTAAAGCTGCGTACGGCAGCACATCCTGCCCTGCCAGAGGCTGCTGCAGCCTCAGAAGTGAGCAGAGACAGTTCAGCACCGCCCTGCATGCTGTGCTGTTACAGAGGGGTTGGATCTGGGCCTCATTTCTTTGAGCCTCTTCTCCCTTCTGCCCATAGCTTCACATGGAGCCCAGGGAACATCCAACACTGCTATTTCAGTGTCTGCTCTTTGCTGCTTTCCCCCTCTTTTCAGGTGGAAGCCAGTGGAGAAATGGTTCTCACTGGAGTTGGCATAAAGAAAATGTGTGCCATATCTGGGGCAGCAGCTGAAGAAGACAATGCAATGCTGTAACACTGTGCCATGATGCAAAGACCCACACTCACATGGAATACTGTTTTCAGACCTGACCACTGTGCCAGAATGGCTGTAATGTCTTTGGCATTTCTCCTGCGAATTGTCAGAGGTCTGGAGCTACTGCTTTGTTATAAGCAAGGGATGGTTTAGCCTAGGAATAGGTTAGTAAGGAAAAGCATAAGACAGCATTAGTCATTGATGCAGCATAAAGGTATTCTCTTCTGTATATGAAGAATTACAAACTAGAACAGAAGTAATAAACTTTTCTTCCCTTCCCTGAACTACACTCTGCTTCCACTGACAAAAGGAAAGAAAACTACAAGAATTACATTGTATCTTGAAATTCTTTGGTAACTTAAAGGCCTCTTTCCAACACAGAGGAGAGCTGACTAATGAGAGCCCAGTACCACCAGTTCCCATATTTTCCAACCAGTTAAACAGCTGAGAGCTGGGCTGTCAGCAGCAGTAGCTCAGTGCCAGCCCAGCGTCTTGTGACACTTCCAAAGGACAGGCTGTAGAGCAGGGTAGGCTGATGGGAAAAGTGCTAATAAGAGGGGCATCTGCAAGCTTGCCTCCAGTTTCTGGGGAGTGCCCTAGGCAGTCACCAGGATGTCCACTCTGGACAGACTCCCACACTGGTCAGACTGTATTCAAGATTAAATTTAAGGCACTGCTGGAGCTGCAGAAACAAAACCCAGTAGTGTTACCTGTGTGTTGGTGCATCCTCTTTAGTCACGGCACAGGACAGAGCAGTGGTGTCCCGCTGGGACAGCGGCCCGATCACCAGTATGAACTCATTCAGCTGTCAGACACATATTTATCCAAGGAGGAGGAGGAGGAGGACTAAAGGGCCCCAAGCACTCCTTTGCTCACCCATCTTAAATAACTTTCTTGCATCACAGGGCCAGCCCTCCTCCCAGTGGCCCTGGGACACTTGATGCTGCCTCCTAAGGGTCTGTCAGCTGAAGAAAGGGCAGGCAGCTGATGGGCTTGTTATTCCATTCATCCAGCCCTACTTGGAGCCACATGCTGCCAGCAGTTTGTTCAGCATCTCCTGATGGCAGCTCTAATGATAAACTGGACCCTAATTTCCATTTGTTGTGAGCAATAAGCCACTGTCAGGGAGTGAGGTGGGCCTGGTGACAGTGGCTGGGTTTGGCCGGGAGTCCCAATCACCAGATCACGAGAGCAGTCTGCAGTGATGAGGTGGATCTGAGGAGGAGCTGGGAAGCCCAGGGACAGGATCAGCTCCACAGTCGACTGCCAGGACAGCTGCAGCATAGCTCAAGCAAGGAGCAGGGCTCACAGTCTGGACTTAAATACAGCTCTTGTGTTGGGGTACAGTCACACCTAGCAGATGTTTAGTCCCCTGTGCCAGCTTTGGCGGATCTGTGGGGTGTTGATGGCTCCTTCTGCAAGGGCTGGTGCATGGGATGTGCCTTCCCAGCCTTTCTAGCAAAAATCTGCTTTTACTGCCAAAATTAATCCCATGTAAGCGTGAGAGACAGGGCACACTGCCTGGGGTCATGGAGGGAGCTGATGTGGCTTTGCTTTGCTTCAGCACAGAAGGGGGGATATGTGTGTGGGGAGGGTAACAGGGAAGCAACAGGGTGTCCCATACAAACCCCATGACTTGCTGTGCCCCCCCCCCCAGTATTGCCCTTTTGTTCATTGAGAGGTGGAGATTTATAAAAAAAAAAAAGAGTGGGATGTGAAGAGAAAAACTAATATGATTAAGGCAGGCTTTGGGCACTGGCAGAGAGCTGCTGTGGGTGGTGGGTATTAGGAGTAACAGCTGCTGCACTTCCCATTAGAGGAGGGAGAGAAGAAGATCTCTGAAAGGATGGGTCTCCAGCGGGCTGGGAGGGCAGTAGCGGCAGCGAGCCCGGCAGCACTCGTGTCCCAAGGTAAGCGACGGCGGCACCGGGCAGCCCTGGGGAGCAGAGCATTGCTCCCCTGCCGTGATGGGCACAGGAGGGCAGCTGGGGGTGGGATAGGGAAAGGTGGCACGGCCTGGGAAACACTGGAGGGAAAGAGCTGCAGCTCAGGGGTACTTCTATAAGCTCCTGTGAGAAATCTTATCCAGCAAGTGAGGTTTATGTGTGCCCGGAGGAGAGGCTGGCTCCGGGAGGAGGAGGCATCCTGCCGCTGGTCCAACAGGGGCTGGAATAGTTAGCAAAGGCTCCTGTGACTCCCACAAGCATCTTCTGGCATGTAACTGGTTGGAGTGGCAGGATGCTTGGCTATGGAAGGTTAAACTGCTTGCTGCTTCAGTCCAGGCACAAACAATTTCATGTGTTGTGGTGGTTTGTTAGTCAGCTGGCAAGTTTCAGAAGTGCTAAAGAGCGAGGTGTAACTAGACCTCCTCAGCCTCTGGTTTCCTCTGATTCATTTACATCTATCTATTGACTGACTAAGTGTAACGAAATCTAAGGCACAAAAAGCTGCATGTTGGAAAGAACATGTTAGAAAGCACTATATTAAAATCTGAACCACCTGCCTTACGATATCCATTACAACAAATACCCCACACTCATCCTTCAGCTTCACTTTCAAAAGTGCATTTTGAAAAATCAGAATAACACAATACTCTAGTTAATCTGGAAATGTGTTTTATGCCAGCCACCAAAGCCGTGAGCTACTGATGACACAGCATACCAAATATTAAACTTGAACCGTGTCAAGAAAAAAATGCTAGTTTGGATTAAAAACTTGAGAATAAGGAGAAATCCTGGTAATAGCCAAAACTGCCACCAAGTTATCTCAGGGTTCCAACTGACTTCACAGACAGCATCATTATTGTGTCGTCAGCTACAGCAAGCCCTGATTGAGAAGGACAAGCCTAAATGCTGCTGGGTGGCCAGACAGGGGTCCAGTGGTTACAACCAGCCCAGTGTGAGGGGCAGCCACGTGCTGTCAGTGCGGGGACATGGCTGTGAGATGGCAGGCAGGGAGAGGCTCTGCTCTGGGCACCAGCCCCACATGCAATGGAGGTCTGCAGCAGCTCTGCAGGTCTAAGGAGAGATGTTTTCCCCATTGATCAGGTTGTACGTTTGGGCTGGGAATGGTGCTGTGTGCTGAGCGTGGCCGTACAGAGCCTTCTCCTCCTCCTAAAGCCCATAAGACTTTTCAGAGTAAATCTTCCTTGACTGCTCCCTCCACGGGCAACTTCACAAGAAATACATCCTCCTGTGAGGCCTCTTCCCTTCCAGCCGCAACAATTACTTCAGAATGTGAATGCTGTGGATTCAAAAGTGTCTCCAGGTGCCTCAAAGATAATCTATTTTCCTTTGTTTAAACCCTGCGGGAACGGTGGTTCTGCAGATCAGCTAAATCAATGGCTCCAGACGGGCTCACAGGCTGCTGAAGCCACTGCTTTGAAGTGAACCTCCACATTGTTTTCTGCTGTAGGATGGAGGATGGCAGGAGAGCCCACACTGCCATTGTTGGCTGGGCATGCACCACCCTGTGCTTGGTCTCCTGCGCGGCCGCCTTCTCGCACGGCGCGAGCCTTTCTGCCTGCACCGACATGATGCCCAGGCACCTCAGAGTGCAGCTGCACAGCCCCAACAGCAACTACGTCACTGTCCACACCAACATGTCCTTCTACTTCCCAGGTGACAAGGTTCCAGGTAAGGAACAGCTTCCTGCATCTGAAAAATACATGACAACTCATTTCAAGTGATGGCATGAATCTTTGTGAGGTCAGGGAAGAGGGATAACCGGTCTGAGTGAGCAACACCACCTCTCTCGTCATGAGGAAATGAACGTATTTACAGAGGAATTCTGTTTGCAGCACTTGGCCTAAGGTTTCTCAGGTGATGGTTGACTCCAGGTTTTCACCATGTTGCAAACCAACTGTTGGCTGGAGGCAGCTGGTAGGTTTGGGTGCTTTGGAGGGGATTTATTTATCTCAATTGTGTCTTAACCACAGCAGACCTCATTACATGCAATGGCATGAGAGGCACTTCCAGAGGGTAAAGTCACCTTCACTGCTCCTCTGCACCACACAAAGCGGTCTGGGTGACCCACCTGACTCTTAGGCACAGTTGGCAGCATGTCCTGGTCCCATCATCACTGGTCCTGAGGTGTTTTCAGTGTTGTTGCCCAAGGTTTTCTTTTAGTTACAGTGCTATCACTGGAAAATCCATTGCAGACAATTAACTCCATAACTATTAGACAAATCCCTTCTGTCCCATGTTTTGTCTTCCAGTGACAGTGAGGAGCACCCGGGATTATATGGGCTTTATGCTCCAAGCTCGCAAAGTGTCCAACAACGAAATCGCTGGCACATTCATCTTCATGCCTCCTGGTTCCAAGCTGCTGACTTGTTTTGAAGATGGGGACACTGTTACCCACTCGGACAAGTCACTGAAAAGAAACCTGTCCTTTGTATGGAAAGCACCAGACCAACCCATTGGAGACATCAAGTTTTTGTAAGGATGTGCTGGTTCCTAACCAGAATTTGTGTCCTCTCAGTTTAAAGGCTTGGCTTTATTTTTCCATCATACTTGTCCAGCAAAGTTGTTTATGTATCTTGAACCCAATACAGCTAAATACTTACCAAATGGTGCAACAGTATCCCAGCTGGCACGTAAATCACCATTAATGTCTGCTAGGTAGTGCTGCTTTTTATTTACATGGTCACTATTTTCTCAGAACAAATACACTGGAAGATGACAGCCTGGGCATTTAGGAAATAGAAATATTAAGGCATAAAGACAGAACTGTGATTATATTGCCTGTCTTTGTAAATACAACCCATAGGACTGGACTTCCCTGCCCACAGGATAATCTTGTATACAACCTCTTAAAAATAATTAAAAATTTTACTTTTAAAAAAAGTAAAATGAAAATAGAACTATTCACATTAAAAAGAGAGCAAGCACTGTGTCAAAACTTGATGTCTCTGTTTTGTACCAAAGTCCCAAACTCTTCAAGTAGTTTGGTTCTGATTTGGAACGAAATAAAAAGTCTTCTAACTGACTGTCTTAGAGGAAGCACAGCAGCTTTTCATTTTGAAAGAGATTAAATTGTTATTTTTTGACTTTACAAAACCACTTAGAAGCTGCTTGGCCAGATCCTTGGCTGCTTCCCAAAACATAAGCATCCTGGTGAATGCTGTGGCTTGTGCACCTCATCGTGATTCAATAAAAATTCATTGAAACAGAAATATTGCTGCTTGGAATTTTCAATTTTTGGCCATTGTTTTAAATCAGAAAATACTATTTAAGCCACATAAAGCTCAAGCAACCAAATAAACTCAAACAATACCCAACAACACCTAGTCCTAGACATCCGCTCTGATATTTCCTTTGCCCTCTGGCTTTTGACCCTCCAAGATGACTTCTGATAGCTTCTCCCTTTTTGCCCTAACATAGCATCTGGAAAAACTCCTTGTTAGGCTTAAAAATACCTTGTAAGAATCATCTGCCACAGGAAAACCCAAACTGGTTTCCCCTTAGCTAACTCTCAGAAGCAGCTGAGCAATCTGAGCTGAAATTCTCCCAAAATCTCCAGCTTAAATAAGGCTCTCTGGGTGAACAGTTAAAGGTTGGCCAATGCAGTTTTGGCACCTGACAAAAAGCAGAGGATTAGGCAGGCTCAAATATCAGAGGACTGAGAAGAGAGACTTTTTTTGCCCTTACCTATTCTGCTGTTTGTACAAGTTACATTGACTTGTTTTAATTAGTAAATACCACTGTTGTTTCCCTGCCTACGGAAGATTATAAGCTGAGCTAGTCCAAGTTTTACAAATGTACTTCTATTAACATGGTGAATGTAATAGAGCCTTTCTTATTTCTTTTTATTTAAGTTCCCACACATTTTTGGCTGATCTTAATTATGGGTGGTGATTCTTCACCCCGAATCTTTCTTATGAGACCGGGTATCTTTCATTTGTAATAGCAAATGTATGACAGGCTAATCCTTTAAAATACTTTTGCATCCGTTCTCTCCTCAGATTAAAGCAGCCTTTGTGTTTTATTAATGCTACAGAGCAAATAAATTCTTGCCTAATTATGTTTTAACAGCATCTCCATAGTCCAGTCATACTTTGTTTACTGGGCAAAGATTGAATCTGCCATCGTGGCTCAGGGGGGGCAAAACAAGACGCTTGCTGGCAGTAGCAAGAAGCCCGACACCACAGCCCCTGTGCCCTCGCAGGGACCAGATGACACACACCCCACAGGAACGGCGAGCAAAGGTACGGGTTGGCTTCCTGCAGAGTAGTTTTACAGCTTATTCTGGGCAAGCGTTCGACACAAGTGACCCAAACAAGCTGGGGGGACCTGTTTTAACTCCTGTGGCCACCAAGGAGACCAGTGATGGCTCTGGTGAGCTCCTTGAAGTGAGGGCATGGGCCAGCACTTGAAGTGATGGAGCCAGTTCCAAGGAGGGTACCGGAAAGTTAAACAGGGCTGCCAGATCTTATGATTCAATGCAAACCCTAACGTAAAACATACTTTACCAAAAATCCCAGCTTTTGAAGATAAGGAAGTGCAATTAGCAATGTTGTCTAAGCAGAGGAACATATTTGTCTCCAAATGTGACTATTGCTCCTCAGGTATATATTTAGTTGTACTTATGCAGCCTTTGGTTAGTAAGGAGCTCCATGAATTTACTTATACCCAAAGCAGATGTATTTCTCAGTATTTTTGTCATGGTAATAAGACTGAGTTTTAGTTATTTTACTTGACCATAACATAGGCAGAGAGCTTTGCTGCTTTAATTTTCATCTGGGTTCCCTCTTAAAAACAAGTGACATGAAAATAAAAGACTCAGTATTACAAACCTTCCTGGCAAGCGTTGGCACTGAGTGGGATTTGAAATAAACAAACCAAAGACAAGAGACTTCTGCTCCTCTCTCCCTGCTCTTTGTTTTGTCTCCCTGTTGGACAAGGTCCCACCTCTCCTGCAGGCTCCCCCCTGCGCACTCCAGCACTGCCTGCCAGCCCCACTGGCAACATGGCAACACCAGCACCAGCGCCAGGTTTTGGTGTCGGGTCAGATGCCCGTCCCATTGCTGAGCCAAAGCAGCCGGCACGGACTTCACGGGCTGTGTCCGGTGGGAGCGTCAGGTCCAGAGGCCGGGCACTGGAGCCATCCTTTCCCACCCAAGAAGCAAGCACGGTGGATGCCTTGCAAGGTTTCCTCTCCCAGAACAATGCCTCCAGCTTCAGCACCTCCAATGGGTAAACTCGGTGGTGGGAAGAGCTATTTCTCCAGTCCTTATGGGGAAGGAAAATAGTACTAGTTTCCCTGTAGATGAACAAGGGTCTATGTAGGAAGGTGTCTGCGGCTGGGGGGGAGGCAAGATGGTGTTTGCTTGCTGGGATTTTGAAACATAATCCTTTGGAGACTGCACATGACAGACAGTGACAGGGAGAAAATCCAAAAGTCATAAGAACCCAATGCTACACTGTTCAGACCAGTGGAGGACTGGCCAAGTGGCAGAAAAATGTGATGAAAACTATTGGCTGCCAGAATATTTCCCTGAAAGTGCATGCAGATATTCAATGAAACAGTGAACTCAGCAGACCTATTTCTCCATCTGCAGGGAAAAGGAAAAAAGGATGCGAAGCAATTATGAAATCTGGGCTTGAGGTTGTCTGCTCAGAACTCTTAGGGGATTTGGGTTACATGAACTTTCATGCCACATTTCATCCTGTGGGTGAAAATGATGGGGATAGGAATAAATGATCAGGCACTATTAAAAATACAGCCTGTGTGGTCTGTGTTGACTGCATGTGTTCCAAAAATGCTAAGGAGTGGCACACTTCTTGGTGGTGTGAGAAACAGGGATTCCCATGTGAGCCATGGTGACAGGTCTCACTTACTAACCCTGCCTTTCCTCTATCCATATCTCAGAGCAGGAAGCAATGCCAGTGCTGCCACCCCACGCTTGTGTTTGACGTGCACAGACCACAGGCAGGTAAGCAGTGAGGTCAGGGAGGACGCCTCCTCCAAGGACAGAAAGGTCTAAGAGAAGACTGAGGATAAAACCTCTCTACTGCATCACAGCACCAAGCAGCCCACATACCTAAGTGGCTAAAACTACGCTGAGCCTGTTAAAAGTTTTATTTTTTTTTTACTTTCACTGGAAATTAGTTTTCATATCTCTTTTTAGGCATTTTTTTTTTGAGCCCATTGCCTGGGTTTTTAACAGTCTCACTGTAAAACCAATCTAAACCAGCTTTCCTGCATGTGGACATGACTACTGGGTGTTACTGGGCTGGAAATGTGTGTTTTATTCCTGTGGAAGGCTGAGATGTTCCTTTCCAGGGGTGCTGGATAGATACCACCCAAGAAATCCACCAGAGGTCGAAGACTTAATTTTTCCCAGGGATGCCCAAAGAAGGTCTGTACTTTCTGAGGCTGGATGGGTCAGAAAGGCAGACGTGGTGCTGGTGGGGTTAGCCACAGGCATGGGGTGCACTTGCCAGAGACTGCTGGAAGAGCAGGAGCTGGCAGGCAGGATGAGTGGGTGAAAGCACCTTTCAGGAAGGGGTGATCTCAGGACAGGAAGCCCAGAAAGGGGTGAAAGGACTGCAGCCTCAGAGCAGTGGGGCAGCTGTACGCATGGAAGGAGATGTGGAAACTAGGAGGGCATCTGAGGAATTAAGTGGAGAACAGAGGAGGGAGAGAAACCAGAGAATACCAGGGCTGCAGAGACAGAGAAAGATGCTCAGATGGGAACTAGTGGAGAAGCTGGAAAGCAGGGATAGCTTAGAGACACAGGGTACAGTGTTAAAAGTGGAAGTCCGCAGAGGATGGAGAGAAGAAAAATACAAAGAAAATAAAGAATTAGATCTGGATTGCAGGATGCCAAAGGAGGAAGAGAAATAACCTCACAGAAGAAAAAAGGGGAAAGGGCCATACAGCAAAGAATGAGGCAGAAATATTTAGGAAGGAGCAGAGGACAGGGTACAAGTAAAGGAAAGATATGTATCATGAGCACCTGGCATAGCCACAGAGAGAAGTGGAGAAATGGCAGAAGATTGAAACAAAGGAAAGGAAGAGTTATTGCACAAGGCAAGATAAGAAGAGCACAATGAAATAAAAATATTGGGAAATTAGGCAAGAATGGAGAGAAGGAGCATGAAAAGAAAGGAGAAATGAGGTGAGATAGGGCAAGGACTTGCGAGGAAATTCCATTTTCTATCCCAAAGTCCCAAGTCCTGCAGTATATCCTTACAGTATGCTGTTTGCATTTTGAGGGCAAGTGATCCATACACATGCAATCCTAACTTCACCAGTCAGCTACTTTACAGTTTGGAGTTCAGCCACTGAAAGTCTTCTATTTACTACTGCACTTTACTAGCACCTTCAGAAACTCTCTTCCACAAAGGATGCTCTGACCCTCCACTACTTTGCTTCACAGCCTGCCAGGGCTCCTACCTCAGCTTTGTGCTCCTGTCACACTGTCTTCCCAGGAAGCCTTAGAAATCGCTAATGATGGTAGAGGGTGAGAGTTTCTCTGGTGTAATTAATGGAAGTGTGAAAAAGCCTGCTGGGCTGGACAGGCTGGAGAGGTGCCAGTTACTGAGGGCCAGATTCAAGTCTCACTGGAGCCAAAGGAAAAACTCCAGTACATTTTGCAGGTTTTGGATGGGGGCTCAGATGCACAGTGGGAATGGAAAAATTCAAATAAATTGTATGATTGTTTCCCAGTTAGTCTTGGATAACACCTGCAGCAAAGCCTGGGCTGCAGAACTGGCATGGAGCTGCTGTCATTTTGTGACAGATAAAATAAGGTGCAAGGAACCAGACAGTCCCCAGAAACAGGAGCAGGCAGGAACAGTCATTCCCACTAAAATGGGTGGTTAAGCAACACAGAGAGGCAGACGATTTCAAACCAGCTGTGTATGCTTAGATAGCAAGGCAGGCTTTGGGAAGAGTTCACAGATTGTATGTGACTGCCCCAAAACCACTGATGTCAAAGGCCATCCCAAGTCTCCTGTGTCCCTCTGCTCCACAGCTCTATACAACCCCAGAAGGGTGATACCAAATCCCAGTAGGCCCACGTGACTAAACATGAAGCTGGGCTGGGAAGGTCACAGCTGCTCTTTCAGCATGACCCTGGCATCACTCAAAGTGGGAATTGTTTATTAAGTGATTTTTTTTCTGTGATAACTATGGCTGTGAAAAATACCACCACAACAACGGGAACTACAGACCTTTACTTAGGCAAAGCAGTGAATTTCCTCTCCACCTTTGCCCTTCACCCTTGCCCCTTCAACCCACTCTGCCTTTGCCCCTGGGACCAGCTCCAGTGCATTGTCCCTCCCACGGGAATTGATATGGATGGAGCAGGGCTTCATCTGGCTCATTTTCTAAAAGGTACTGAGTAACCAGGGAATGGAGAAGGGTTATTTTAAGGCCAGAGGGACATGTGCGTGTCAAGAGTTGAACTGTACTATGATGTAGGTAGTGAGAACATAATCACCCCCCTTTCTCTTCCTTCCTCAAACACATTTTGGTGTGTTTTTGCTTTCAAAGGCCAGTACCAAGAGCGAGGCCATCTCGAAAGACTCCCTGCATGTGACAGCATCTCCCTCTGCCCTGCACGTACACACTCACCTGGGTGATGCTGCTGCAACCACAGCCTGGTTTGGGAATGACAGCACTGCTGGCAATTTGTCCTTGGCTTCAAGGCAAATGGCAGAAAGAGAGCTGGTACCGCAGCCAGAGGAGACCGGCACTCGGGGTGAGGAAGAGAAAGAGGAGGAGGCAGGTGGGAATACCCTGGCATGGGTGACCAGACCAGCTCCCAAATCTGCTATTCCTGGGAAAGGGGAAGACCTTGGCAGAGGAAGCCGACTCCTTGCAGCCCAACTTGGCATCCTGCTGGTCTGCACGGCCGCCCTGGGCCTGGCGCTGGCAGCCGCCGTGCGCTGTGTCTGTGCCCAGCACTGCCACAAGCGGACGGAGGTGTCCTTCGGCGAGCCGGACCCCGGCATCGCCGCCAGGGAAAACCGGGAGGCGGTGCACTTCCGAAGGATCCGGGAAAACAGCTTCGTGCTGGTGCAAGCCGAGTACAACTGGGTCAGCCCCCAGAGCAGAGGGAAGAAGACAATCATCTGAACATCTGCAACGCTGAAAGCAGCGCTACAGCGGCCGGTGCGTGTGCAAATAGCCCGGGCTGCACGGCACAGGTTATAGGAGGTGGTGGTTTAGTTTCTCTGTGTGCTGCCATGTAGGTAAACAAACTCAAAGCAGCCAGTTCAGACACAGGTGTTAGTCAAAAGTATCTAAGCTACAGCTGTTGAGAAAATAGAAGTTGATAGATTGTTCAGTGTGTTACACTTACTGCAATTAATATTGTATATCTGCTCATTAGCTGTCACTGCAACCATGACATACACTTCCTCTGCTGCCTTAAGGGTGTAGCCAAAAATAGAAATTCTTCCTCTGCACTGTAGTATTGACTCCTGTTTAATCTCAGCAAAAGTTTCTAGTGCTATATTTCTCTCTAGGAACTACAAACCCGTGATATAAACCCAATAATTCTCATTTAGGAGCTTACAGGTTTGATTCTGTGCACCTGGTATCTCTTGGATGACACAATATTTGCCGGTAGATTTTAAGTTTCAATTCGAAAATAAAAAAGCAATAACTCATTAGTGGAGAACATTGATTCGAAGGACGCTGAATTGATCCATGGGAGTGAAACACAGGGTGGCAGATACCAGCTTTTGGGGGAGAAACATGCCTCCTCATCAGGTGCAAATGGAAGAAAATCTTTCCTGTCCATTTGCACCTGATGAGGAAGCTTGTTGCAGCCTGACAGGCAGCATTTACTGAGTCTTTTACTTTACCGAGTCAGCTCGGTAACACTGTGTGCAGAGACACGGACTGAGAAGTACCCTTCCCAGGTCACTTTGGAGCAGCAAAGGCTGCATGGGAAGTTAACAGCATCCTTGTGCTCTGAGTTTGTATAAACTTCTCCAACCGTGTGGTTTTCTGCAGGATGGCGCTAAAACAGCCCTTGGAAAACATCACAATCCTGGACACCTCCTAAGAGACAAGCGATAACAGCAAGGGTAAAGGTTTATTTTGTTGCAGCTTTAAAATAGTCAGAAACAGTCCTGATAATGATCCTCTTGAGATACACATTTTAGAGCCTTTCAGAGAGCAGGAATTGGCCCTTCTGGTGTCCTTATCTAGGGTGGATCAGCTCAGATGGTTCCCAAGCTGTGTAATGGGGGACACATTTTGGTGGTGCAGCTTAATGCACAACCCACAGCAGTTCCCCCTGAGCTAAGCAGATAATGACGGGACCCTGATGGCTCACACAGCCTTCCTAGTGACAATTTACCCCTCTGTCAGGGGGAATCTCCAACTAGTTGGCCATCTTCATGCTGGATAGTCAGTCAAAGCCCTGCTCTCATGTCCTCCCTTAAAAGATCAGAGGAGACAGGTGGGACATAGCTGAGTTCTCTGCTCCAACCCCCGTTTGATGAACACAGTGCATCTTTTGCTAATAGTGCCTTCTATTAGTGTTCAGAAAGAGCTGGTTTCTGCCCATACTACATAATGTTTTGTGCTGCACACATGGACAAATTTCTGTCAGGTTAACTTCTAGGCCTAGTGAACCTGGGGCAAAAAAATGAGTAAGAAAAGAAGTGTACTCACAAATGCAGCTTGTAGAGATGAGCTTGATGGTCTTAACCATTGCACTTTGAAGAAAAGGGAAACTGCACCATGGCCCTTCTGCTGTGGAAAAACCAAGGGTAGCACTGTAATTGAAAAGACATTTGTTTTAGGACTCAAAAGGATGTTAGGTGAATGGTTTTATATTCAATAAGTTGAGCTTATGCCCTAGCTCCTAGTAAGTCTACAGGTTTTTAAGTACAAGCCCAGACACAATGGCATTCATCTCCTGTGTCATGTGCCTCAGAAAGAAATCATGTTTCTGTAACCCAGTGTAGCTGAACTGTGTAGCAACTAAAGCAGACTGCATTCAAGTCATTGTTAATGCAGCCAAAAAAAAATAAATCCTAATTAACTGAGAAAATAGGTCAACAAACTCTTAAAATATTTAAGAACTATCACTTATTATTTTAAAAAGTTTCTTATGATGGCATAGCTGTTTATGAATAAATTACAAATACCTATGGCCTCCTGCACTGTCTCTCTAGGTTTAATGTTACCAGATTGCTCTAGCTATAAAACCATAACCTTCCCCTCCCCAGCTCTTTCCCCACAATCCAGCACGGCTTCTTGCCTGACTGGAGCAAGTGAAGGCCTCATGGAGGTGTTTGATTAGGACAGTGGCACTTCAACACCATGCTGCCTTCTGCCAGACTCTGCCTTCTGTTAAATTTATGCTGCTCCAGTATTATTACTAGTAAAACCAGTAATGGTGAGCTCTGAGGGACACAGCTCCTTTGAATTAGTAATGAGTTTTGCTACTTTGCAGACTTGGCTGAGACCTAAAGTGCTTGTGTTTTTTCCTTGACTTCTGAATGATGCTTCGTTTATTGTAGTTGCCATGACGAGGAATGGAGGTTTTATCTCTTCTTAAGGCTGTTAAAAATATGAGCACTGATTAATTTATTAAAAGGCAAACCATTCACCCCTTCCCCATTCTTAAGTGACTTGTCTTATATGGAAATTAATCTGTGCTCACAGTTAGAACAGATTTTGGAGGGAAAAAATATTACAAAATTAGGAAAAGAAAGGCACAAACCATTCTAATATTTACTGAAGAGTCAAGTGAAAGACTTACCTTGTTTCCCTCTCTAGGTGCACAACTGTGTTGGTTACATATGTTCTGCTGGAACTGAGGATCTCCATTCCTCCAGTGCAGGTTAGCCTGCAGCTGTCTGTGGCCCATGTCAGGTTGCCATTCCTCAGCAAAGTGATGTGGTTTTGCGTCAGAATTACTGACCAAGGCTGTGGAAAGCAGCTAATGAACACCTGATCCTAAGCCTATCTCCCCACCAGTCAAACAGGCATCAAACAATGCCAGTTATTTATAGCTTAAATCCATTTTATTGATGCCATTACAATGCTTGAGCTATCCTAACTAAAAATAATAATAATAAAAAAAAGAAATAACTTGCATATAGTCATGCCCATTCACCACACCCTTACTTGAATACTCATTTTCCCATCTCGTGTCACCATGATTCCCGCTTTCCCTCTGCTGCACCAAAAATGTAAACCACTGCCCCACAGCCACCAGTCCTGCATGTTGAGCACATAACACCATTACTAATTCTTGCTGCTTTTCCATGGTATCTGAAACCAGTTAGGTTTTGCCCATCCTCAAGCCTGTCTGTAAATCTCTTCCCCCTCTGCATCAGAGAGGATGTTGCCTCACTAAGTGCTGCACCTGCTCTATTACAGATGCCCACTCTGACAGCAGTTAGCAGAGGACAGCAGCCCTCCAACACATTAGTGGCACTAAATGTAATGCAGAGAGGTTGCATTAAGCAACACGGTTAAGTCATTGTGGACGTTTTCTGCGTTGGTTGGATTGTCACCAACAAAGCCAAACATGCACTGATTTGGTCAGCTCCAAAATGAGTGATAAGACTCACAGAAGAAGCCATAGGGCCCTGTGGGCCCAGCTGTCATGGTCAGCAGGGATGTGTGAGCTCAGGTTCTCTCTTGGCACAGGCAGTGCTCACCCAGAGCCACGTGGGACCAGCCCCAAGCATTGCGGAGATCAGGCTGGGTGGCTTGGCCAGCCCTTTTGGCACAGTTTCTGCAACTACTTAAGACCACACAAATCAAGGGAGGCAAAGCAGCAGGACCAGGAACCCAGAGAATAAAAAAAATTTCAGCACATGCCCCAGCAAACTGAGCATGGGGAGATGATGGGGCTGCCTTCCTGAGGGGTGAGGGTTTGTCCTCTCCCTCACCCCTGAGAGTTTGCCCCTGCTTCAGCCAGTTCCTTGGCAGAGCTAAGGATGCATGTGTTATTTATTCACTTAGATTTAAATAACAATGAGAAATGCCTGTAAGAAAGGAGATGCTCTAACAATTCCTGCAACATTCAGCTGCAAAAAGAGCTGCTTAGCAGCAAAAACAAATTAAAAAGCGGTGACCCGACCCACAAAGTTCGTGAGCAGCAGAACAAACCCCTCACTCCTCCTGGCAAGTCAGACCCCTCCACTAACCCTTCGAGGGTCTCAAGGCTCAGTGTGCCTGGACAGTTCTGCAGGGCTCCCTTCCTTCCTTTCCCTTCCCTTCTCTCCTGCCAGCTCCTCCAAGACACCACATCAACTATGGGAGAGCAGAGAAGGACTTGGTGAGTCACAACTGCCCTTGGACCAGGAGCTGCTCAGGGACCTCTCCTGGTTCCCTCCCGCCACAGAATCGCTTCCCCTTCGCAGGTCTCATCTCAGCAGCCCTCTTTCCTCATTAGTGTATATGTGACTCTCTCAATAAAGCATTTTGTTATATGATGTATGAAGGACCGTGTCTCAAACCACATTTTACTGTATATTTAAGTGCATGTTCTGCTGATTTACTGCTGTTCCAGAGAACGTCTCCCTTCCCGAGCAGGGCAGGCCTGTAACGGATATATCAGCTCTGACTAATGATTATTAGTACATCCCAAGGTTATGTCCCACAATCAAATAACGTGTAGGAGGGAAGAGAGACTCCAGCTTACTCGGCTGAGGACAAAGATCACAGATAGTCTCTTTCAATCTTCAGATTGCAATATCCATTACAGATTGCCACCTTCTAATGTCAAAGTATAATTTGTTGTTGAGAAAATGTGTCGCTGTTTCAGAGGCGAGTCAAAGATCAGCCTGGTTGTATATCAGTGCATGTTGATGTACATTAAGAACCGGTGGCCAGGTACCAAGGACATCAGGTTGCCAGTGCGGAGGGAATGGAAGTAGACGTGACTTGCTGATCTTTACTGTGCAAACACACGGCCCGAAGTGGAAAAAAAATATTTAACCCAGTCAAGCGAGGTGTCACCCGTAATTCCCAGCGTCTGAGGCAGCACCAACGCGACGTGTCAGGCGAGTGGCCGGAGGCAGCCGCTGCTCGGCTGCGGGAAGGGAAGGGCAGGGCCGCCCGCGCGGCACGGGGCAGGAATGGCCCTGTTAAGTGCGTTC